CCACAGGACCGGGAAGTTCTGCTCAGGCCCTGGGGATCACTGACACCCAGAGTCCCTTGAGGGCCAGACAGGCGACGAGAACAACTCCTGACCCAAGGCAAAATGTACGTGCAACAGCAGCTGCCTCCACCTGTGTCAGCCACGGCCAGGGAAAAAACCCAAACCAACCCGCTGCTTTCCGTAGATATTTATTACAAAACGCTAAAATATAAACCAAACATACAAAACATTATTAAAGCCAGACCTGCTGTGGCATCTACCTGGCCACCTGCCCCGGGCCTCTGCAGGACCCAGGGCTCCTGTGACCACACTGGGCTCTCTCCCCAGTCCACACAAACAAAACTTGGCCCAAGGGCCCCGAGGATTCAGGTGTAATCGCACTCAAAGGTGAACTCCTTCCTCTTGAAATGCTTCTTTTTCCTCAGCTTCCCAGCGCCCAGGATGCTGTAGTTGTAATCAGACGTGACATATGGAATCTCTCCCTCAATTCCTTGCTGAAAAACAGAAAAATAAAACCAGAAACAACTTCAGGAGCCCATAGCTTCGGCAGAGGGGGAAGCACTTCCCTCCCCAGGCTGACAGAACTGATGGTGTTAAGGACTCAGTGATCTCCAAACCCCCCTCTGGCATCTAAAACACGAGTGGAACGTTGTGTTCTCTGTAGGTTTCCGTGCTTAAGGACAATCTCCTAAAGTGATAACCATCTGCTGATGCCCAGGCATCTCCCGGCACGCATCCGCCTCAGGAATAAGAAACTGGAAAATCTGCCAGCCAGCCAAAGCTCAGACAGCTCCCACCCCTCCCACAGGCTCCTACCTGGCCTACAAGCACGCAGTTAGGGATAGCAATGTTCCCAAGGAGGAGACAATTCACTAGTCTCAGGTTCTCCGGAGGCACTGGTGTCAAGATGTGGTAAAGCTTCTTCTCCATATCAACCCCTCGAACAATTCCTGAACAAAAGAACATATGCAAAGCTCAGTCATCAGCTCATCGGCACATCCCTACAGACACTCAAGAACCAAACTCCAAACTCAAACTGGGACATTTAATCAAGCTGTAGAAAGAAACTTAGGCAACTTCAGGGATTTTGCATAAGCCACATAGAATCTGCTTCTGCAAACGTGAACCCAGAAACTGAGTCAACTGGGGAGTTCTGAGAAGCTCCGAGCAGCGCCACACAGTGACATTCCTCACAGCTGTTACTGCACAGCAGACTTACAGCAGAGCTTCCAACAACAGAGAACACACCACTACTCCTGTATCTCATCCCACTTCTGCAGCTGTCTTCGGGAGAGTAAGCAATTCTGTCACTGTGCAACCCATCTGCCTAAACACAGCAGGTGAGAGCACAGCTCCAGCGTGCTCACCAAAGCCCAGGCAGTCGCAGACTGGCGTCTGTGTCAGCAGGACTGGCCCGTCGGTCTGGCACCTGACTTCATCTGGAATGCAGCAGAGCCCAACCCAGCTGGCGTTCACTGCATACATGATGTTGGTGGGAGCAACATCTGTGTGAATAACTCTGAGTGCGACAGCACTGAAAGGCACCTGTGGGGGGGTGACAAGAGGGAAGAAAAACTGCCATGGGTTCCTCATCAACTGAGTTCAAATTCAGAGGTAAGACCTTGAGTACACAGACCCTGCACGCTCCCACCCCACACCCACGGGCAGGCACACACAGCAGCTTCTGCACAGACAGAACACACGTGCCCCACCAGCACCTTGACAGAAGCTTCACTTCTAGACAGACATCCCAAATACAGTTGTTATCTGTTTGCAGAGTGTTTATTCCTCTTTGAGAAACATCTGCAGTAGGAGCAGAACTGTTCACCACTGTAACCAGGCTTTCTGCACCATACCCAAGCCTTCCCATAAGGCTCCTTTACCTGATATGGCACCAGGCTGTGCAGCGGGAGCACCGCCCCAATGTCTGGGTACTGCAGGTGCCCCAGGTATCCCAGGATGGACATGTCACGCAGGATGCCGCTGTGCACTCGCCTGTAAGAACAGTCCTAAGTCAAAGACAACGTGTGGTTTTGTTCAGCTCACAAACTCCCCACAGCACTCAACGTTCTACTTACGCTTCACCTGCCACTCCCGCCCGAGGGAATTCTGGATGGACATACAGCAACTTGTACTGTGGAACTGACACATCCTCCCCTTCAGAGCACTTCCAGCTCTCTGCAGCACCCATATCCAGCTGCTTGCACTTAGGCAGCTGCTTGCCCTTGGTGTGCAGCCCGGCACGAAGGTGGATGTGCTCGGGGCTGAGCGGGGCCATTGCCTTCCAGTCGCACACGTCCATCTGAACAACATGGCTGGGCGACAGCAGACGGATGATATCGATGAGCAGCAGCAGCCCCTCGCCTTCAAGAGCGCAGAGAACACACAATTGCTGCTGCTACTTCAACAGATCACACACCAGCACTAGCTCAGGCACGCTGCAGGTTCTGGTTCTGTGTGGAGTTGCACCACCATCACTACCTCCTTCCCACCCCTCTTCGAGAGAAGGATAGATCCCATTTACCTTTCACCCAGCCCATGGTGTTGATGATTAGAGGCACTTCCTTCTTGTAGCAGCTGAACACGTACTTCATGACATCAAGGTACCTCTCTGTGTCTTGCTCACAGCTGGTCTGGCCATAATACACCATCTTACGGGGCGTCTGCTGGTGAGTGAAGGGGGGACCTGGCAAAAAGAGAACTGAACCTCTAGTGCCTTCATCAAGTCAAACCAAAACTCCCACTTCTGTAGCACCCACATGTCACCCCTCCTGAAATAATCTGTCCTCTCCCCACCTGCCAACAGTCTTTCTTACACAGCCTGCACTTAGGGAGAAACTAGTCTGTCATTTGCAAGACTCTGAGAGAGTTCTGTTTTCTGAGAGAGTTCTGTTTGTTTTGGGTTAGTTTGGGGTTTGTTTCCTTGCTTGAAATCACTGGTTACACACTTACAAATCTTGAAACAACAGTCTAGGATAAACTGCCTAAAGAGCAAACCACTCTGGCCATGTCCTTTTGGACAGTGACCTCAATCCAGGAGACCGCAAACACCAGCAGTTTCCTGGGCAATGGTTTTTTCACGCTCATCACAACAGCCCTGAACCTGTGTGGATCCACTTCGAACTTCTTGATGAGATTTTCCTGAAAGGCTGAACATCCCCTTTGACATGCCTCAGCCTGCTCTACCGCCTGTAAACATCATCTCTCTTTAAAAGAGACAAAAGGAGCAGGAGAATGGCTCCGTGTTACTTAGGGAGCTTAGATGTCTCTACAAGAAAACTCAAACATCCCTTGGTTTATTCTCTCTAGGAACCTCTGACAGGAACCTCTGTGGCAGCAGCTTCCCCTAAAGCAGTCTCTGCCCAGAACACCCTATTCGTTTTGGAAACGTAACAGGTCTCTGGTAACCACAGGAGCAGTGGAACACATACCCAGCACGGGCTCCGTGATGCTGCTCAGGGACACGCACCCTGGCGGTGTGAATTCCGGCTGGCCTATGTCACATTCCATGTACTCGACCGCAGGAAGGCTGCAGGAAGAGAACCCATATATGTGTCTACCACTGTGTTTAAAAGCTATCCATTTTCCAGGCCTGACGGCTCTTCTGAGAGTCCTGTCAGACATATTTTTCTTTCTCCTAAATCCCACGCAGCTCTTAAAAGCTTGCAGAACATGGACTCACCGATTCAATAATAGGTTAATTAGGTATCTGTTGAATGTCGATTTTCCAGTGTTTTTTGGGCCACATACCAGCACCACAGGAATACCTTCATCTTCCGCTGGAAAGACAAGCAGGGTGTGAACCAGACAAATGCTGGCATCACTCTGACCCAGCCCAGGTGATGCCTAGCTCGAGCATCCCGCTTTTCAGAGAAAAACACAACCCTAAATCAGAGCGTGCCAGGCAGGATATATGCCTTAATTTTGATTCATGAAAAGCCTCACGGACTTTTTTTCTTCAAGCTACCAAGACCCCAATCTGGCCAAGTGCCTCACTCACCACAGCAGGCCTGGATCAGTTCGTCCAGTGCCAGGTACATGCTCTCTGACACCAGCAGCCCGCGGTCGGGGCTGCACTTCACGATGCCCACGGACGCCAGGACCGCATCCTCCGGCGTGAAGCTGGATTCCTCCTTTTTCTAGGCGAGAGGGTGAGCGCTCAGCGCGGGTGCCACAGCGCTGAACGGCGCCGGCCGCTGGCTCTGCACGGGCGGGGCAGGGCACCTCTCCGCCCGCGGGCTCTCACCTGGGGCTCGAAGAGCCGCGACAGGGGCGAGTGGCTCAGCAGGAACCGCGTCACCGGCGTGTCCAAGTGCTCCAGCAGCACCACGGCGCAATCGGACGAGAAACGCGCCATCAGCTTCACCCGCGCCTCTGCAACGGGCGAGCGCCGCCATCACCCTGAGCTCTCAGCCCGCCTGCCCCGCAGCGCCCCGCGCACAAAATGGCCGCTTCCCGCACCGCGCCGCCCGCAAAATGGCGCCCGCCCGCCCGCCCGGTCCCGCACTCACGGCGGCGGACGCGGTGCGCGCGCATGGCGGCGCGGGCGGCCGCGCGCAGCTGGCGGAGGGCGGCGAGCGGGCGCGCGCCGGGCAGCGCCTCCAGGCTGAGCGCGCAGTGCGTGGCCGGCGAGAACACCGGCAGGCCCGGGTGGTGCGAGGCCACGGCAAAGCCCAGCAGGCGGACGGCGCCGTACAGGCAGCGCAGGCGGCACTTGCCGGTGAAGGTCAGCGCCTGCGGGGACAGAACGGGCGGTCAGGCGGTGCGGGGCACGGCACGGCGCGGCCGGCGCGGCGCGGGCGCTGCTCACCTGCCGCGGCGCCAGCAGCAGCACGGCCGTGCCCTCCGCCGCCTCCACGGCCGCCAACCCCGGCTCGGCCGGCGGTACCATCCCGGCGCGGGCGAAGGAGGCGGCGAACTCCCGCCAAGCCGTCTCCGCCCGGGCCCCGCGGGCCGGGTTGCGGGCCAGGGCCCGGCGCGGGCGGCTGCGCCGCGCAGGCATGGCCGCTGAGCCTCCTCCGCCTCCCGGGGCCGTCCCGCGGCCGGCACCGCCCGCCCAGCACCACGCCCCGCCTGCCGCCGCCCCGTTAAGAGCCGCCCGGCCGGTGCTGCCCCGCCCCGCCATGCCGCCTCTCGCCCCGCTCCGCCTCTGCCTGTGCGCGGCCGCCGCCGCCGCCACCCTCACCCTCCGCGGCGATCACCGCCTGGCCGGGCTGTTCCCGCTGCACGCCGCCGAGCCCCGCGCCGCCGCCCGCCCGCTGGTGCACGGCTGCGATGAGTGAGTGCCCGCGCCGCCCGCTCCCCCAGCCGCGGTCTGTCCTCCCTAATAACCACTCTCGGTTCCGCAGCGCTGCAGTCTTCAAAAGCCACGGCTACTGCCTGTCCCAGGCCCTGCGCTTCACCATAGAGGAGATCAACAACTCCAGCACGCTGCTCCCGAACATCACTCTGGGCTATGACATCCTCGACACCTGCTCTGAGCCTTCCAACCTCCACGCCACCCTGCATGCCCTCGCCCGCAAAGGCGGGCAGGATGTCCAGCTGCTCCCTGCCTTCCAACACTATGAGCCCCAGGCTGTTGCCGTCATCGGCCCCGACAGCACCCAGCTGGCCCTCACCACAGCTGCCATCCTTGGCATCTTCCTCGTACCAGAGGTAAGCACAGCTCCTGCAGCTGAAGAATAGGGATCCTGAGCACTGAGGGTTTGAGAGAGAGTGGACTCAGAGCTGAGGAGGCTGGTAGAGCAGCCCCTCTGTGTGGGTCCCTTCCCATGCCCTGTCCGGGGGCAGGCAGGAATCACAGTTGGCTCACCATCCATCACAGTTTTTTCCTGCCACAGCACACTCGGTGCTGGCTCCACTGCCTGCCCAACTCTGAGTCTCCCCAGGACAGGCTGCCGATGCCATTAGATCTCAGGGATGCTGCTGCCTGGGGCAGTGCATCCCCCTTTCTCCTGGCTCACTTTGCAGATCAGCTACGAAGCCTCTGTGGAGACACTGAGCCTGAAGAGACTGTACCCGTCATTCCTGCGCACCATCCCCAGCGACAGGCAGCAGGTGAAGGCTATTTTCCTGCTGCTGCAGCACTTCGGCTGGACCTGGGTGGTGCTGCTGGGCAGCGACAACACCTATGGTAGGGCCGGCCTCGATGCCCTGCACAAGTTGCTGACCGCAAGCAATGTGTGCGTGGCCTACCGAGGCACCATTCCCGCCAACTCAGACGCCAGCAACCCTGAGCTCCACAACCTGGTCCGAATCCTCACAGACGTCAGGGTCAACGTCACCATCGTCTTCTCCAACAGCCGAAGCGCCCGCCCATTCTTCGAGGTGGTGGTCCAGAGGAACATCACAGGCATGGTGTGGGTGGGCTCTGAAGACTGGTCACTGTCTCAAACCATCTGGCAGGTGCCTGGCATCCAGACCATTGGCACGGTGATTGGGATGACGGTTGAAAAGCCAGAGTCTGTGATGCTGGAACGCTTTGAAAGTTGGAAGATGGTGGAGGAAGGTGCTGCTGCCAAGTGTGCTGGCACCGCAGAGGCAGGCAGGGAGTCGGGGGGGAGCGCGTGGCTGGACTGCACCCAGCGTTACACCGGCTGCCGCTCACTGACTGCTGCCTCCAACGTGTACGATGCTCAAGCCTCCTTCAATGTGTACTCAGCCGTGTACGCCGTGGCCCATGGCCTCCACAGCCTGCTGGGCTGTGCCTCAGGGGCTTGCAGCAAAGGCCCTGTCTATCCCTGGCAGGTAAGAGCAACACGAGGAAGGATCTTCTTTGTGGAAGAGGATCCATGAGGATCCTTTCTAACAGGGAAGGATTTTCCCATGGTGCTCAGGCCTCACAGAGACCTGGATGGGACTTCCTGCAGATGATGGGGGTCTAGAGAGCAGAGGTAGCACAGAGGAGGGATCCTCCAGGACATCTCTCTTCCAACGGCAGGAGTCTCACCATTGGAAGGGCTCCTCTCTTGTGTCTTACAGCTCCTACAAAAGATCAAGCAGGTAAACTTCACCTTGTACAAGAGCCGAGTCTCTTTTGACGCCAACGGGGATATTCGTAAAGGCTACGACATCGTCATGTGGAACTGGAGTGGCTCAAGCTGGGCTTCTGATGTGATAGGAACCTTCCATGTCAACCCTGACAGGCTGAGCGTTGACTCAGGCAAAGTCCTGTGGCACACAAAAGATGGCCAGGTACTGTTCTGCACCCAGGTCTTATTTATTCCTCACTACCGAGCTGGCTGTGTCCCAATGACAGCAATTAGGGGGCATTTCCTCATAGCAGGGCAAAACTGGGGGTGGACAGAGGTGATGTGGGGAGTGCCAGAGTGCTGTTGGGCCCAAGCTGTGCTGCTACCCTCTCTGCTCACAGGCTGACCCTGTCTGCACTCCCACCAGGCTCCCACCTCGGTGTGCTCCAAGACCTGTCAGCCGGGAGAGAGGCGGCTGCAGCAGAGCCGCCACCGGTGCTGCTTCAGCTGTGTGGCCTGTCCATTGGGCACCTTCCTGAACAGATCAGGTCAGTACACCCTGGGGGCTGCTCCCACCCCTTCCTTGCCTGCTTGCATCCTGCCTCCTGCTCCCTTCTCCCCGTTCCCAGCCTCTTCGCCTCTTCCCTCCTGTGGTCAGTAAAGCCTGAGCTGACCTGATGGCGGTGGTCTGGCTCCCATTTGCTCACTGATGGGTATGCAAAGCCCACATCCTGCACTTTCCAGGGAGTGCTGCCCACAGGTGAGCCCATCTGTGCAAACAGAGCCCCTTCTCCTGTGGCCAGGGGACAGGAATGTCCGGCCCAGCAGCTGTTCCCTGCACTGCATCCTCTGCCAGGAAAATGTGATGCAGTGGTTGCCTTTGTGCCCCGGATGGCACTTGGGGCTTCCGCACCATGTGGTCACCAGCAGCTGGCATATGGAAATGTGCCCTGCCTGGGACAGACAGCAGTGGTCTCCTACCTCAGAGTAACCAGCCACAGTGACAACCCCCTTCCTGGCAGCTGGTTCCTTGGCACCCTCAGCCCGCTCTTGGGCTATGGGGAAGGGCAGCTCCGGGAACAGTGGGAGCAAGGTCCTGTCCTCAAGGGGGCTGCTGCAGACCTTTCTCAGGTTATTGCTTGGGCCCCCTCTCACCCACAGCCCTGAGCCTAAACCAGCCGAGGTCCTGTGAACTCCACACCTCAGCCCAAGCCACTGACTTTGGGAAAATCATGAGTGAAACTCGGGGTGTGGAGGGTCTTTTGGGAGAAGAGCCCCCTCTGCTCCCCAAGGCCTGTGAGTGTCTGTGGGAATGAGCAGAACACGAGGTGGGCAGAGCCTGGGGGGCTGCAGGCCGGGCACTGCACTGGGGCAGAGCTCTTACTGGGTTCGAGGTATGCGAGGTGCCCGTGTCCTCTGCAGACCCCTATGGCTGCCAGGCCTGCGGGCTGGACGAGTGGGCCCCGGCAGGGAGTGAGGCCTGTTTCAACCGTACTGTCGAGTTCCTGTCCTGGTCCGAGCCCCTCTCCTGGGCGCTGCTGACCCTGGTTGTGCTCCTCATGCTGCTCATGGCGGCACTGGCTGTCCTCTTTGCCCTCAATGCCTCCACACCCGTGGTCAAGTCTGCGGGCGGGAAGATGTGCTTCCTCATGCTGGGGTCCCTGGCCTGCACCTGCAGCAGCCTCTTCTGTTACTTCGGGGAGCCCACGCGGCTGGCGTGCCTGCTGCGGCTGCCGCTCTTCGCCATCAGCTTCACCGTGTTCCTCTCGTGCGTGGCGACCCGCTCCTTCCAGATCCTCTGCATCTTCAAGCTGAACGCGCGCTGCCCTGCGCTCTACGAGGCCTGGCTGCGGCGCCAGGGCCCGGTGCTGTTTGTGGCCGCCAGCACGGCGGTACAGGCCATGCTGTGCTTGGCCGCCGAGGCCACCGGCCCCGCCGTGCCGCTCCGGGACTACGGCGCGCAGCCCGACCGGGTGGTGCTGGAGTGCGCTCCGAGCGCCGCGGCCGGCGCCGCCACCGCCTACACCGTGCTGCTCAGCGCGGGCTGCTTTGCGCTCAGCTACGCGGGCACGGACCTGCCCGCCGGCTACAACGAGGCCAAGAGCCTGACGGTGAGCCTGCTGCTGCACCTGGGCTGCTCGGCCGCCGTGCTCTGCTCGCAGGGCGCGCTGCGCGGCCGGGTCGAGGCGGCGGCGAAGGTGCTCGGGGCGCTGGGCACGGTCGGGGCGCTGCTGAGCGGATACTTTCTGCCGAGAGCCTTCGTCATCCTGCTGCGGCCGCAGCAGAACACGGCCGAGCACTTCCAGATGGCCATACAGGCGTACACGCGCCGCCGGGCCGCCGCCTGAGCTGCGGGCACCGGCCCGGGGCCTCCCGACCCCAGCCCCGCAGCCTCCCGACCCCATCCCCGCACACAGACACAGCCCGGCCCGGCACACACAGAGGGACACACACGGCGTCACTGCCGGCGCTGGGTGACGCCACGTCCGGCGGTGCCGGTGCCGGCCCGGGCGCGGCCATGGCGGCGGCGCACAGCGTGCGGGTGCTGCGGGAGCTGAACCGGCAGCGCGCAGCCGGCCAGTTCTGCGATGCGACCCTTGGCGTGGGCGGCCGCGAGTTCCGCGCGCACTGGCCGGTGCTCGCCAGCTGCTCCCGCTTCTTCCGCGCGCGCGGCCCCGGCGGGCCCGTGGCGCTGCCCGACGGCCTCGCCGACACCTTCCAGCTGCTGCTCGACTTCTTCTACACCGGGCGCCTGGCGCTCACGGCGCACAACCGCGCCCGCCTGCTGGCGGCCGCCGAGCAGCTCGGCGTGCCTGACGCCGTGGCGCTGTGCCGAGCCTTCCGCCCGCGGCCCCGCCGCGCCGCCGCCACCACCGCCGCCCAGCCGGAGCCCGCGGCGGCCCCGCCGCCCGGCGGGCAGGCGGTGCGTGAGGGGAGCGGGAGGGGGGCGGCGGGGCCGGGGCCCGGCGGCGGGGGCGGCGCGGTGACGCCGCTGTTCCCTCGCAGGGCTCCCCCCCGGGCCCGGCGGAGGGCGGCGGCGGGCGGGGGGACGGCGACGCCGAGCCCCTCTCCGAGAAAAAGGCGCTGCGGAGCAGAAAGAGCCCCCCCGCCCCGGGAAAGGCGCCGGGGAGCAGAAAAGGTACAGCGGTGCCGGTCGAGTGTCCTACATGTCATAAAACCTTCCTCAGCAAATATTACCTTAAAGTGCACAACAGGTAAACGCTCCGACTTCTACTTCATCTTGCGCGCGCGGGAGGATGCGTCGCCCCCGCGGTTCAGCCCCTTCCCGGGGGTGGAAAGGGCGGTCCCGCTTTTGCCAGCTGGTCCCAATGCCATTCCCCGGGATGGAAAGAAGGGTCCCCTCTGCCCTTGAGGGTGCTCTGACCTGTGGGGGGGATTATATGTCTCTGAAACATATCTGAGAGCTGCTGTGACTCAGGAAGGCGGCAGTGGGGGCTCCTCAGGGACTGTGCTGGCTGCAAGTGGGCAATGGCAAATCGTCCTTGTGGGCTTTTGGATCAGCCCGGGCTGGGGTGGATTTCAGGGGCTGTGGGGAACACCTAGCCGGGCTCTGTGAGGATCTCTGGACTGGATCTCTGAAAGCAGAACAGAGCCCTTCCATAAGGTCTTGAGTTTCACTTCACTCCTGTGTGGGGGCAAACCTTGGCCCTGCAGAATCAAGATTCCGCGGAGCACAGTGGGCATTGACAGCCTGACCACGCTTTGAGGGGCCCCGAAAGTGGTGTAAAAGCAGCTTTAGAGTGACTGTGAATAGTGGCACTGGAGGGACTTGGGCAAAAACCTGCCTTACCTTTCCCTGGGTCCTCCCACACCTGTCTGTGCATCTGCTGTTGGACAGGCAGTGATGGGGTTCTCCATTTGTGTCCCCCCAGGAAACATACTGGAGAGAAGCCATTTGAGTGTTCCAAGTGTGGCAAATGTTACTTTAGAAAAGAGAATCTCCTGGAACATGAAGCCAGGAACTGCATGAACCGATCAGAACAGGTACTCCCAGGAGCTGCCCCACTGGGCTGGAGTGCGGCTGCCATCCATCAGGAAGGGAACTGGAGCCTTTTCTGAGCCCCAGGCCACGCTTAGCTCTGAACAGACACCTATCAGCACTGCATGGCACATATTCCATAGCCGAGGCCCCTGTGGCTGGGACCCCCACGGCCGGGACCAGGAGGGCAGCAGCTTGTGCCTGATGTGCCACACAACCTTCGCTCTGTGTGTTCCAGCACGCCAGGACACTCTGCACTGTGCAAGATGAGGGTCCTGTGGGTGCAGGCTGAATGCTGTGTCTGGGTCGCAGTGCCTGGCAGGGGCTGAGCCGTGGGCTCCGGGCCAGGCTCTGGGTCCTGGGGAAGCTGAGGCCGCCCTGTCTCTCGCAGGTGTTCACGTGCTCAGCATGCCCGGAGGTGTTCAAGCGGCGGATGGAGCTGCGGCTGCACATGGTGTCACACACCGGGGAAATGCCATACAAGGTGAGCAGCACCGGCATCTGGCATCCCTAAGGATGCTGCTGGACACTGGCACAGAGTGGGGGTGAGCGTTTGCCTTCTGGGGAGCTGAGCGCACCGGCTTCCTTCCCCAGTCTGTGACAGCCCACTAAGGGTCATTCCCTGTCTCTGAGCTGGAGTGTGCTCCAGGGAGACACCACAACCACCTGCTTCCTGCAGCTGCATGAGGAATCTGTTCTGCTCCCCCACTTGGTCCTCCTTGCTCTGAAACTACTCTTTGGGGGCAACTGATCTCCCTCTCCTTTCTTGCAGTGCTCCTCGTGCTCGCAGCAGTTCATGCAGAAGAAGGATCTGCAGAGCCACATGATAAAGCTGCACGGCGCACCCAAGCCCCACGCGGTAGGGACCGGGATATTGGGGAGGGTGTGATCCTGCACACACGCCTGACCTAGGGAACAGTGCCTGTGGCCTGTCTGGCTCTTAGTGAGGCAGGGGGACACAGAGCTGCTGGAAACAGGCTTTTTTATGTACAGGAGCAGCTGATAGACCCAAGCACTGACCAGCATTTTGCCTCTTTTGGGCTGTCCTATCTTACTGGGTGTCTCTGAGCTGGGGTGCTGCTGTGGGAAGGGCCCTGGAGCAGGCAGAGGAGTGCCAGGTGTTGGGCACAAATGGGTCTAGTGTGGGTCTACCCTAACCCCTGTTTCCTGTGGCCTTGCAGTGCTCAACCTGCTCCAAGTGCTTTCTGTCCCGGACAGAGCTGCGCCTGCATGAGGCCTTCAAACACCGTGGAGAGAAGCTGTTTGTGTGTGAGGAGTGTGGGCACAGGGCCTCGAGCCGCAATGGCCTGCAGATGCACATCAAGGCCAAGCACAGGTACGATGTGACCTGTGTCCTCCCTGTCCCAGTTTAAATGAGACAAAGGTCTTTTGCTGAGGATGGGTTAGG